CGAAGGAAGAATGTGTGTCTAGATAGATAAGGCATAATAGTAATCTCCGCGCCATCAAAGTCTATAGATTTTTTGATACAGGCCCGTCTCATTATGTCCTCCTTCTGTACAAAAAAATGAATCCGGCACAACACGTCTCCGGGGGAATTATGATCAGTGCCCCTCGGACTGTGCACCCGGTCCATTTCTATGGGAATCGTGGGGTCCTGGTCCAGCAACAGATTCAGTATTGCTTGAACCGTGGACCGGAGATCGACCCCGGCAGTGGATTCTGGGACACCCCGCAGACGGACGTTATTCTGGCGGTTTCTGTTTTTGCCATCGTCCATCTTAAAGGTACTGCAAGGCGTAGGCTCTGTTCTTAGCTGTAACAGCTGAATTCAGGGCAGTGGCCCGAGCCGCCAAAACCTTGTGGGAAGACTCGGACGACGTTACCCTGCTTTCCAGCCGAGTAACCGTCTGGACAACTTCCTTGATTTCCCTGTGCAACGTACCTTCCACCTTTTGTGCGAGTCGATCTATGTCCTCCTTGGTTGCCAGAGAGTGCAGGATCGCTCTGAGGTCTTCCCTGAGCACTGAGGCCAGGTCTGGTGACATTTGCAGGGCCGGTTCAAAGGGAGGCAAAGCGGTAGGGTCCAGGCTCCGTGATCGTATGGGAGAGTGGTCACGCTCCGACAGCCCGGCGGGAGAGGAGGCTTCATCCTGTGCATACCAAGCTGGCCAGGAAGTTCCCACTACCTGGGAGTCAATATGGCCGTCCGTCTCCATGTGCCTGGGAGAGGCCGACGAGGGTCCCGGCGTTGCTGTCAAGAAATATCCAGGTATGGCCTGCCGGGCAGTCTTATTGTTAGATCTGTGAGATTTTCGACCTCCAACCATGGGGATCTAAATTGATTTTATGCAGTCAACTGGAAACGGTATGACAGGGAGCAAAGCTCAGCGCACAAACGATTTTACAGCTCCATTGCTAGGCCATGCCCCCAAACCAAAACTTTTAAACTTCCAGGAGCAGCATCTTTTGTACATGATTTAATCAGCATTTGAAATATCTTAAACATTCAGACTTAATTTGTGTAGCTAAGCTAAGGGAATATCCCTAAAGGGTTCAAAGTGAAGCCTCTGAAGGACTGATGGAACTAGGTGGAGATCCTATGGTGTCACAGATAGCTGCCATCCCTCCACTTTGGAGAAGTGGGGGTGCTACCTCATTGCACTGAGGGCTTAAAGCCAAACCTGGTTGTCTTGGGAGTCCACATTTTGCAGTGTATCTGGGCGCCAGGCTTGAGGTTTGAGGCATAGACTTGAAAGGAATGAAAGAAAACTTTTCAGGACCTGTAAGCCAAAGGCTTACTTGTGGTTTAGGCTTCTTTATTGGAGGCAAAAACAGTGCGCTTCTTACAAGCAGGTTCCACAAATTCGAGACAGTGAACTTGAGCTTGGGAGAGATTGTGGCAAAATGAACCCTCCCTGTGCAGATTAAAAGTCTTCCCCCTACCCAGGGAGTGATCCGTAAGCAAACATTACAACCACCCCTGAGCTGTTGGCAGACTGTGTTGGCAAGGCCCTTAAACCCATTCCCATGGTCCTTAAACCCTTTACTCTGTGTGTGTTACACAATCCTGTGCCCTGCACTATAGACACTATGTTGTACATGTAATAGTCCTGACCCATGCACTCTTTGTGTTACACACTCCTGACCCGTGCACTGTTCACATTATGCACTCCTGGACTGCTGCACTCTCTGCATTATGCACTCCTTAGTCCTGCACTATAAACACTAAGATTGTACATTTTATACGTATGACCACTGCACTCTGTACATGGCCTTAACTTGTGTGACAGGACAGTGCCTTGTCACTATGGTAATTGGTGTGTTTGGTGCCCAGGACTCTTGGCCAGAGGGGCTGAGAGGGTCCAGAAAACATATAGTGTTACAGGGAAAGAGCTGGGTTTACAGTTCTTTCCAGGTTTTCTGGAGTATAAATGGGATCTGGGTCTCTGGAGATTTCCAACAGTCTTGGGTGGGATGAAATCTCCAGTCCCGGGGCCAGGTGCAGCCAATTGCCAGGCCAGACTGTTCACGCGGCTGATAACAGCCTTATTAAGAGAGGGACAGAGAGGAAGAGGCAGTAAGTGGTGCCGGAGTACATGCAGAGCGTGGGAGACTGTGTATATATGACGCATGAGACACTGAGCTGGAGTCTGCCTGGAAAGGCCGAGAGGGCCTGTGGCACAGGCGGTGTGTGGGCGAGGCCAGGAGAGGGCCTGTGGCACACGAGGTGTGTTTGGAATGGTCAGGAGGACCATTGTCACACAGGGAGGTGTGAAGCTGCTGGGTGTCTGACCATGAGGCGGCTGAGGCTCTAACCCTGAGGTGGGACATGATACCGGTGCTGAGCCAAATCTTAGATGTTGCTGGAAGATACATCCTGTTTATGTTTGTTTGCTGAAAACAAGCAATTTAAGTTGTACTGTTTAAAGAAAATAAAGTTTTATTCGCTGATACGGCTGGCTAAGGATCCTTAAATACCCTAAATGTTACACATGACATACCCCTGACCATTGAATTCAAAGTACATTACATACTTTCAAGTTCTTCCTCACCCTGCACATTGTGTGTTATGTACTCCTAACCTCTGTACTTTGTGTTACACGCTTGTAACCCCTGTACTTCTGAAGCTCTTCCGTAAAAGGTAGCCGGTGTTCAGACATGCATATGTATTGGGAGAGTTTCATTTAAAAAGAAAATTAGCTCACTTTGGCCATAGCCACCATTTGATGTGGCACACGCCACTGTATTACTGGAAATATTTTTTCTGTATAGAGGGGGAGAGGTGTTAAAAAAGCGATTGGCCGCAGGTGTCAGACATGATAGGTACACCATTGAGTGCAACACAGGGCATGTTGAAGCTACTGCTACCACAATTAGAACAATCTGCCCAGCCACATGTGTAGTACATTGAACATAAAGCTGATACACGATGATGAATTAACACAAAACTGTTTCCGAATTGGTAACACAGACATTACATTTTGGTAGGAAAAAGCATAACCTAACTGCATTTTTTTAACAAGTACAGAGATATAGCCAGTTTCCTTAAAATCCTAGATCATGTAATATACTAAATGAACAGATATTCTGTGCTAATGGAAGAAAGTAAAGACGGAAACCGGGTAAACTACAAGCTGCTGAGACTCAGGCTTGGGTGCCTAAATGGTTAATTAAGCAGTAGTACAGCGCTATAAGTTTTCACGGTGTGTTTGGACAGAAATCAGTGTGTATAGAACAAGCAATAAGTCTACAGATTTGTACAAACATAAATAAAATGTGTATATGAAATAAAGTCAAAACTGATCTAATAAATTCATATGTGTTTTGCTGTCTTCTTTATATGGGGTGTAAATAACGATCAATATATATGTGAACACAGACACAAAAATATAAAAGTAGGTCACTACGTGAACTGTGTGCTTTAAACTGAATATATAAAGGAGAGATATAATGGATGTAACTTCATCCACAATCATATATACAGTGCAATCAGGTTAATGACAACACATTAATAAATTAAATTGACCTAAATTATGTATAATATATAAACGATGTAATATCCAAAGTATCCCAAAAATAATATACAAGGAAAAGGAATGTCCAATCATGTCCTAATATTGATTGAAGATATCAGAACTGGGAAGAGATCGCAACACCTGACCACTAAAGACGGATGGATTACTAACCTCCTTCTCCCTTTCTGGAAATAAGACGGCTCGTGTTTCCCCAGGATCTGGTGAGTGTATTCCCTACGGGGGTCTCCTGTTCTTCTGACAAATAATCCATCTCGGCACCTCCAAGTGAGATTCATCCCCCAAGTTCCCCATCAGCTGAAAATATGTTTTTCCAATATTAGGACATGATTGGACATTCCTTTTCCTTGTATAATTATTTTTGGGATACTTTGGATATTACATCGTTTATATATTATACATAATTTAGGTCAATTTAATTTATTAATGTGTTGTCACTCACGGACTCACCTGATTGGACTGTATATATGATTGTGGATGAAGTTACATCCATTATATCTCTCCTTTATATATTCAGTTAAAAGCACACAGTTCACGTGACCTTCTTCTTTTATATTTTTGTGTCTGTGTTCACATATATATTGATCGTTATTTACACACCATATAAAGAAGACAGCAACACATCCCATATGAATTTATTAGATCAGTTTTGACTTTATTTCATATACACATTTTACTTATGTTTGTACAAATCTGTAGACTTATTGCTTGTTCTATACACACCGATTTCTGTCCATGTCATATACTAAGCTAATATTACTATTATTCAAAATGTAAATAGGGTTAACAGTTTGCACAGCGCTTTACAAAAGGGAAACAACTACAAAACAATTCAAGAAAAGATAGTAAGGAGGGCACTGCTTATGAGAGCTTATAATATAGAAATAAAAGGGACATCTGTTGTACAAGGGTCTGAAATGTGACAACTTTCTTTACATTAGTTTAGTGACAATTTGATGGTCAGCATTTAACCACAACTGCTCTGGAATGGAAAATCAATTAATACCACCTTGACAAGGCATTTTTATAGATTTCAACCCCATCCCAAGTTTTATCATTTTGGTATATAAACAAATGTGACATTGGCTATCTGAGTTTGAAAGACAATCATTTGCTTTGCATCATGTACATATCAGAAATCATGTAAACCATATGAATCCACATTTTCTACTAGAAGAGCTATTAGCACACTAGTTTAATATGAGGAAACAATTTTTTCCATGGTGGATGCAATTACCATAGGCTGAATTAGAGAGAAATGAAAGAAGACAGCAGAACATTGTATGTTTTTTTTCCCCATCAGTCCTGACTGTGTTCATCAAGAGCAAGCGTTGTACAAATTTGCACAGGATGACCTCTATATCTCATTTTAACTGGGCCATAGATGACCTTGATTTCATACATCTCCATTTTACCTTGTAAACCCATTTGTTTAGAATTCTCCAGTGCTAAAGTCAAAAACAACATTTGCCGTGCCAGCAGCTCCAGGTCACTCTCAATTACAAAGAACTGGAAATAAACAAGAGAGAAAATTAGTAAAATGAAAAATCCAAACTTATTCTGTACATACAAAATAAAAGCTTTGAAATCAGAATGGCTAGAGAATACAAAATGTGTTTAGGCATACACTTACAGGTTCTTAAAAGTACATTTTATTTTTTGTAAGCGGGTTTTGAGTTGTGCGGTTTCACTTTTTTTCATAATTGTTCTTTTAACCACTTGCAGACCGGGGTGTTCAACCCCCTTCCTGTCCAGGCCATTTTTCAGTATTCAGCGCTGCAGTACTTTGACATTTATTCCATCATGCAACGCTGTACTGAAATTAATTTTATACCATATGGAGGCAGATAGAGCTTTCTTTTGGTAGTATTTAATCACCACTGGGGTTTTTATTTGTTTACTATATAACAAAAAAATACCAAAAAAAACAAAAAAAAAAACTGTTTTCCCTTTATTATGTTAGGAAACCAATTTTTTTGTAAAATATAAAAGATGGGGTCATGTCGGGTAAATAGACATCAACCATGTCAAGCCTTAAAATTGCGCAAGCCCAGGAAATTGCAAAAAAAGTAGCACACCCAAAATTGGTCATAGGCGACGCTTTAAAAGATGTTACCACTCCTCAGCTTAGTGTTAACAGTGATTGATGGCCCTAAAATGATTGCTCACACTCAGACATTCGCGATATGTATTAACTGCGGCATAATGATTGCAATCGTTTTAGCGCATCTATTTAGGGTTGGGGGACTTTTAAAAAAACACTTTACACTTAACTTTATTGTTAAGAAGCCCCCTATGTGATATCAAATTACAATGACAGGTCCTCTTTATGGAGACATCGGGGTCTCCAAGACCCCTAATGTCACCTAGGGACCTCCAAAGAAGCTGATGAAGCAGAGATCTGCTTCACAAGCTTCTCTCTGGCTTCTGTAGCCGGAAAGGGATAGATGAATGTGGATGTGATGTAGTAAACATCACTTCCTGCAGTCACAGAACGTAGAGGAGAGCTGAGGGAGATCGTGTACTGATCTCCCTCTGTTCTCCGTGCATGGAGCCACACTGACGGTCCCAGATCGGACGCCCGGGATTGCGGGTTTGGCGGCGGCAAGGAGAGGTACGGGGGGGGGATACAGAGAGATGCATCATACAAGCGAGCGGGCGTCTTTACAGACCACTTGTATGTAAACAGCCAATGCTGGCTGTTTCAAATTCTGGCAGTTTACCACTCGTGCACGGGCTCCCGTCCAGCCATTTCTGAACGTTCAGCGGACAGGAGGTGGTTGATATAAAAAATATTTAAATCCTATTCCTGTTAAAATAAACAGTAAATGTCCACATTTGCACATTAACAGCTAGTGGAACTTCACAGTGGCTCGGTGCTAGTAATTTTTTATCTGTTTACAGTAGAACTGTATTTTCACATGCGTAGGTCTTTCAAATTGATACTCGCCCAATCTAACTTGCATTTAGAAGATTCCCACAATCAAAGAAACATTTGGGAGAATTTATCAAAACAGGAGCAGACAGAATCTTGAGCAGTTGCCCATGGCAACCAATCTGCATCTATCTTCAGTTTGCTCAGTTGAGATTTGAAAATGAGACATAGATGCTGATTGGTTGCAGTGCAAATCTGATCCAGATTTTGATAAATTCCCCCATTGCTGTGTCTAGTTTTTGAAAAAAATATTTCAGTTTCATTCCCTCGGGACATGCACAGCACTTCTGGTTTCTCATTGCCATGTAAGGTTCAAAAAATGCAGTTGTTCAACCTTAGGACCAGAGCACTTTTCTCCCCCCTTAGTCATCTTAAAAGGACAGAATGCGAGAGTTGGAGGCTTCTCCCTTCCGGCACGAAACGCGTCACCATATGCAATTGCCTCTCATCCAGTCCTTCAGTTTTTGTGTTTCCTCCATCAAGGGGACGCTGATGCATCACTGGAACGCTGGGTGATCCTCCATCTTCCACATGGTTCCTGTTTTTTCCCCTCCAATACTCTCTCCCTCCCTGTTGTGTGTGGGGTGAGGTGCGAGTTTTTATCTTACCTTTCTGAGCCTCCAGAAAGTATCTCTTGGCAGTTGCAGGGGGTTCCCTGGGTCCTTCTTTCTTTTCAGTGCTCAGGGAGGGCCGGGACTAGAGCTGGCATGGGCTCCCTTGGCTGGGCTCCTGTTACACGGCTGGGGTCCAGCCATGTAACAGGAAATGTTACACGGCTGGACCGGATGACCGCATACGTCACTTCTAGGGTGAGTGACATCATCTCTGGGCGCTGGACGCTTTGCATTCTGGGCTCCACTGTGGCACAGAGGAAGGGAAACGGCCCTGGGCTGGTAATATCCGGGCTCACCTTACAGTAGCGCCTGCGAGGGTGCCGGCGGTTTCAGTACTGCTCCGCATGCTCAACAACATGGATCCTGCTCCTTCTCTGCAATCTTTTGCTTCTGCAGACACAGATCCCTCTGTCACCAGCCCTACTTAGGTAAGGTGGATTTTGTTGTGGATCTCACCTGCCTGCAGCCTCCCACTCTTTTTCCACCTAGGGTCCCTTCGTGTTGGGCTTAGGGTGTTGAGTGGCACTTTAATCTGGGTGTTTTCCTTAGCCTGTAAAAAAAAAAAAGAGCCACTGTTCTAAGGCTTTGGATAAATCCTGAAATACTCCCAAGAAGAAATGTGCAGTTTGTTCTGTGAAACTTAGTTCCAGCTGTACCAAGCCTTTGTGTCAAAAGTGTATTGAGGGATTATTTAAAGAGTTTTTTGTTAGTTTGAAATAAGGTCCCCAAACTTGATGCCCGTCTGTCTAAGATTTCTTAGAAAAAATCAGATTTAGCACTTGAGGACATCCCATGGACAAAAAAGGTGGAGGTCTAACTCAAAAGAGCCTAGGATTCTACTCTAGCCAACCTTAAGCCAGCCTTAGGGACTACATGTGTGGCCAGAAATCTTGAATTATGGTTAGAATCACTTGCTAGCTGGTACTCCCAGGGAACAGCTCTTAGACTTGCTCCCCATGCTCCTAAAGGCTGTTGGTTTTATGCCGATGCTTAAAGTGACATTAAAGTCAAAACCTTTTTTCCCTCCCCCCAATTTTAATTAAAGAACTTACCTTAAATTATGTCTCTTAATCCGATCTTCCTCTTCTTTCCTGTCCTTTTCAGCCTTCTCCCCATCGCTGCTGCGGGTCTCCGATCCAGCGCTGACTCCTCTGTGCTGGCTGGCACTTCCTGTCCCCCGGTATCTGCATGCGGGTGCACGCGTCCATAGACTTACCTTGTGTCTCTCCTTGTTTCCCGGCCGAAAATCTGAACTGCGCATGCGCCTGCCCCAAGATGCTTTGCCGCCCGAGCATTTTCGGACGGGAGCGTGCGGCGAAGACGGGTACGTTTAAATCGCTTTAAAAAAAAAAAACTTTTTGCATATGACTACTGCTTGTTAGCAGTAGATATATGCAAACAAAAGTGAGGGTTAAAAGACCCTTTAAGCAGCATCACTTAGGATGTCAGTTAGATCCTCAGCGCTAGTTAATTCTTCTTGACCAGCTCTATAGTTAAAAGCCTGGGAAGGTGACTCTGCATCACAACTCCCTCTTTGTAACCTTCCTTTTTCGGGCAATCTTCTTTTTGGGACCAAATTAGAGTCAATCCTGGGGCGTACTGCAGAAAAGGAAAAAAGGCCTTTCTGGGGAAAGAAAGTTTTTTTCGTGGACCACGGCGGAACAAGAATCAGGAAAAGTAAGGGAGACAAGCCCAAGAAGCATTGGATTGGACATAAGGGAAGGGGAGGAGTTCTTTTTAATTATCTCTCCCAAACTCCAAAGCAACAAATGACCATTTCTGTTTCCACACTGGAAAGAAGTTACCTCCAACCAGTTCATCCTAAATTTGATAGAAGATGGCTACATGTTAGAGTTTGACAGTTTTCCACACCAACGTTTCCTAGTAACAAATCTACCAAAACATGCTGCCAAAGCAGAGGCACTTTGTCTTCTGTTAGGGGAATTAGTAGATCAAAGGCTGATCATTCCTGTCTGTTCTAAAAGAAGTGGGAGCGGTTTAAAGACAGCTTGGACTCAGCAGTCCAGTTTCCTTCTTCGATGAAGAAAAACTTGCGGTAGTGGAAAAACCACAAACACCTGACAACAGGCTTTCTGCTGTCCTTCCAGACTTCCATAAAATTAAATGATGGCAGCAAGCTCTTGGGGCTGGGTTGCGCATATGGGGAGTTTGGTAGCCCAGGGTCAATGGTCCCAAAGGGAATCAAGGATGTCTTCAACTGGAGGGAGTTGAAGGCAATACAGAATACTATATCAGGGTCTTTCAGGAGAGGGTAAGAAGTCATCATCTCCTAGTATTTTCAGACAATGCAACAGTGGTTATCTACCTCAACAAACAACGTGGTACCATGAGTCCTTCCCGTCAGGGGTTGGCCAGGGATTTTTTTTTGGGGGGGGGGGCGGAAATTAACCTGGTTTCCATGACAGCCGTTCATTTAAAGGGAACTCAGAATTTGCTGGCGGACTATCTGCCGTCAGCAGGTTCTTCAGGATGAGTGGAGCCTGAACCTAGAAGTTTGATCCCTTCTGTTAGGAAAGGGGGGCCTTCCAGAAGTGGATGTTTTTTACTCCCAAGAGAACGCAAAGGGTAGATCATTTTTTTTTCTCTTAATCTGAGGAAAGCAGCAGTGGCGGTAGATGTGGTGTCGAATCCCTGGGATTTTCATCTTTGTTATGCTTATGCTTTTCCCTCCAGTTCATTTGTTACTCAGTGTTCAAAAGAAGTTCCTACAAGAAGAGACAGCACTTACAGCACTTTTGGCCCAGGAGGGCATGGTTCACACTGTTACTCTCCCTTACCGATCGTCCTACTTGGACTCTTCCATGCAGGCCAGACTTCATCTCCCAGGGCCCAGTGCTTCACCCAGATGTACAAAGGTTCAGTCTGACCACGTTCTACCTTAAGAAATCCTGAAGGCCAAGGGTCTGTCCACTAAAGTTTGCCCCTTAGTAAACCAGTTA